CATTCGCGTACGTGACAGCTTCAACCCCCGTACGAACACACAAACTTACGTATGTGCATACATATTTCGAAAACACTGAATCCTCACACGTCCCTACGCGCTGCCATTGACGTGCTATACAACCAGATACGTAAAAAATAGGCCAGCAACACAATCAAAACATGCCCTTTTTTCAAGACAATTTGGAAACCGCACACGCACATGTCGAATAGCTTTGCGACATCCCACAACGCTGATATCCTTGGTGGCTGCTCCGGCAATGCTTTCGAGGAACTACAGCCTCCATTCCATCTGCGTCATGAGTTTCTGGGGATCTTCGGCCAGAAGTTCCTCGTAGTGCACTCTCATCTCCGTCTTCACTCTGGCCTTCACCATCTGCCAAACATTCTCGATCGGATTGAGGAACGGAAAGTATGGGCCCAATCTCAGTATGGTTACTCCGTCGTATCCATCTACTGACGACAGTTCTTCCAGTCGTTTGTGACATGGTGCATTATCACATACCACGACAACCTGCCGGAGCTCCATCTCCCGTTTCAGATTGTCTAAATAGCTTTGCAGCCATTCGAGAGATAGGGGACCTGTGAATGAGCCTCTCCGGGTGGTCGTCGACACTTACCCTTCCGTTGTGAGTGCACCGATCAAATGCAAATTGAGGCTTCTACTGTTGGCAACTTTGCAACAGACCCCCACTCCTCTGGGCACCCGACCAAGAGTACGTTTGCAGTAAACCTTGAAGTTCGCTCTGTCAATCAAAATGAAGAACTTGCTATTGCGCACAAGTTGGGGAAACTGCTGAACGAATTCCCTGCCCATCCCTTTGGTTCGATCATTGTTCATTCCCTCGGGAACCTGATAGATGTTCTTCATATTTATCAATCGACCATCTAGGTGCCGTGCGATTGTTGACTTCGAAATGTCCTTGTCCAATGCTGCTCGCACTCGTACTCGCATTTCCCGTAGCGTGAGAGTTGAGTCCCTTGCGATCCAATCCAGGATGTCATCTACGTCCTCCTCCGACAAAATCCGCTTACGACCGTGCGCCTGCGTACTACTCGGCTCCTGATCAAGAGAGCGACGAATGCAGAAGTAGGCTGTTTGGTATTTGATGTTGTTCACAGTTGCCACCAGCTGCCAGTCATCACCGTTGACGAAAGCGCCCAAAACTCGGTCACGAATGTCTGATAAGATACTCTGGCGAGCGCGAGAAGGCACACCGACGAGGTTAGTATCATAGACATGCTATCGGTCTTGCGCTTATGTTCCAGCTGTTCATTACGCTCAGACCAATTGTAATCCATCGTTTCGGACGTGAGGGGGGCACATACAAGTCCGTTGCCCCGTCGAAGTGCATGCCTCTAAGTTTCATGCACAATTCTCACCCAATCAACGGGCAGCGCGCTCACCTCCCCAGACTAACGCACCGAACCTTGGCATCCGGCCAATGAGAACACACTTAAGGTCAGAGGATTGGCTCTGAGCGGCTGGCGAATCGCACAGGGTTTTGCAACATTTTGGACTTTCTTCGCAAAATTTTGCTTCTTCTTTGCAAAATTTTGGACCTTACATGCAACGTTGCGGGAAATGTTATAAAGTGACGTATGTACTGACTGGCATCTGGGAGAATGAGACAGGTGTGTTAGACATGTTTGTAGCACGTCAGAAAAGTTCAGCATATTGTATCCGTAGCACACTGGCTGTATCCTCGGCGATTTGAGCACATCCATCTGCTGGTATTAGTGGGGGAACACCACCTTTCCGATTTCAGAGGCTGTTAATTTGTTTGTACAGAAAAATTTGTTAACACAAAACGCTTTCGCTATACTCTGCGCGTGTATTAACTTCTCCTCACATACAAGCGTGGTACAGTGATTACAATGCACAACATAGGTGATACAGTCGTCAAGGCTAAGATTCCCTCCAAATAAATGCCATGCAGCGTCTCTTACTGCCATGTTTTATGAGTTCTTCTCAGAATGTATGATTGTGCTATTGCGGAACGAAGAGACTTGTTGACCGACGCAGATTTAAGTATATCACTAAACTAGCCAACGAACTCCATCTGAACAATGTTACTGGAACAATCGTCCGAAAACTCCCAGATGGCATCTCGCACAAGTTCTTCCAGTATGTCCTAGTGGGTGATTGTTCGAAACGAGTCACGTTTCTTGTGCATACTCCACAAAACACACGAACTCGTAAATTATCTTTACTTGGTTGCTCCTCCCTAGATGGCTCTCCATCTTTGACTATTCAATCATAAACCCTTCGTTCGTGCATACTAAATCAAGCACAGATGGTTTGTTTCCCGCTCTGAATCTAATGTGTGAGCTGATATAGCTGAAGAGCGTAATGCTTTCAATATACTCTTGCAGGTCGGCCTGTAACTGTTCGTTCAGGGATGCCAGAGCTTCCAGGTCGTGAATACTGAATTCTCCTGAGCTGAGAACCTGACTTTACCGTCGTTGTACGACTCTTCCCAACGGTAATGTCAGGCGGGAGCCCATATCTGGGAGGTGGACATTGGGGGACGATAAACAACTGCCAAAAAGCAAGTGTCGTTGTGTGTCAGTCGTAGACTGCAGCAGAGTGAGTCTATGAGCAGCGTTTCCGGATCGGCCGCCGGTTCGCACAGCATGTTGCTGCGACAGTATACCATCATCTCCGGCCCTTGCTAGAGCCATCATTTCGGAGGACATACTATGTATCGCAACTTCGGCGTAAGTAATTTCTGAGTGCCACCAAGTTTCCATGACGAATATGAGCTTTCAGGCATGTGACGCTTGACGTAGTCGCAATTCAGTGATGAAAACAAATGGACGATCGGAAGGTACAAAGCACAATAAAATACGGTGTCACAAAAGAGTGAAAGAGTAAATGATGCAAGGTCACTACACCACGTCGTGGAAATTGATCTCACTTTCACAACCAATCGTGCATAAATTTGGGAAGCCAGTGGTTCCATGGAACCGTCATGAGAGATTTGTCTGTAACTATAGTCGAGCCAAGCTCGTCATAATATCACCATTTCAGGATAGGTCGGTTGGGTTAGGATATAAATATCTTCACAACTTGTTGCATAACATTTGCTAACTTGTTGAATTACTTCGATGGGGACCTGCGCTTGACGGGTGACGCCCCGACGGCATGAACTTCTACCAAGGTAGCTGAGCATCCGTTACAGCTTAATGCGCTCGTTCCAACTGTGGTTCGCACCAACTTTGCCACTGTACTTTGCCGACTTACAACAAACAGGATGAAATGAGCCACCGACTGAGCGCAAGCTTCATACCGTGACCATTTCCAGCTCAAGTTGGCTGTTTATTTTCGATTTCGTTTAGTCAAAATCAGCAATTCAGAATCCCAGTCATGCTCGGTGATATTCATTATGCTAGTTTGCCTCCTCTAACTGCACCCAGCTGATACACTGGGTGTCGACCAGAGTGTGAGTACATGTCTTACACATGTATCTTAAATACAGGATGGGTTAAGAAACATGCCGATATGGTGCTGACTCAATTTTAGACTACGGGATCCCAACATGTGATCGCAAAATATCAAAAGTTTTTAAATTGGAAACAAGAGATGTTGCTATGCTTCTCACTTCTGTCATCCTGAGTACCGTGCGTTTCAATTTGAAAAAGGTATCACTTTGAATGTATCACTTTCGTTTGAAAGTTTCCATAAAGAAATTGGGACATTTCTCAGTAGACACACAAATGAGTTGTTTTCCAAAATTACTGAACTCCCTTGCCTTTACACGGTGGATCGCTTGTTCATTAGTTTTTGCAAATTCCGCTTGATGACACGGTGCACCACGCACATGAAGGGTGTGTTACATTGAGCCAAGTCCATCCCGTATTTTACTTGGGGTTGACACGGCTACATACCATACATAGATGACTATCCATTGAGTTTCTGGGCTAAATTTAATCCTCCACATGTGCGTAAGTATGAAGTGTAAAACTCCAACAGCCGCATGGTAATTTGGTCAACAGCTCTGATGCATACATCCCACCTGTGTACGAGACATTGTCACATCGTTGAACATCTGTCTCTCTTCGCTTTCAGATATGCTGCCCAAATTCACCCGTCTGGTCATAGCGCACAACCGCCTGACAGAAGTAGAGGATTTGATTCATGTGATCAATTGCCCCCAACTGTCAGTTCTGGACTTGCAGCACAATCGCATCAAGGATCCATCCGTCGTGGAAGAAGTGTTTGCAAAAATGCCCTCGTTGGTGAGAAGCTTACCCATGAATGAATAGCAGAAAAGTAGAATGAATTACATGGTAGAATAGTCCATGGGCTTAATCTGCTGATGCAAAGGTGACCTAAATGGGTTGCTTAAACTTGCAAGTTAAACAAAGTTGCATCTTGGGATACGGTCGGCTGTACTCTTCTCATCATTCCATGGGCAAGACCGCTTGCATTCCAGCTGGAGAATGATGTTTGAACTCACAGACTCTTCTCGAAGCATATGTGAATGGGTTCGCATAGATTTATCAACTGCGTCCAGGATTGCATCGGCAGGCTTTCCTATTGACCACAGGTGTTGCGTCAGCTATAAGGGGGAAATATGAGCGGGATTCACTAAAATTGGTCCTTTTAAAGCAGTCGTTGTGTGAACGGATTACGATACGCACTCTTACTGTGGACTATGGTTTCTATTATGGTGAGCCTTAATCAAGTTGATCACTGGAATTGTAACTGATGAAGCAGCTGATCGTTGGACGTTGCCAACTTGAAAACAATGCACCCTACGACCGATTTCCAACTTATTTGCTCTCATCAGGTAAAGACAACAGGCATCGAATCCGAGCTACGGGGAGTTTAGCCGAGACTTCTATCCCTTTAGCCACCGAGTCGTGTAGGGTAACGCTTGTCACAACGATTAATGATTGCCTGAAGTGTTATTTTGTGTCACAAGGTGGACCGCCATTCACATGGAAGTGAATCTCGATCAATTCGATTGCTATCGCTGCCTGATAGACGCACATTGGTGCGAAGCCGGCAGTGGAGTGCGGCTTTACAAGTGGGTATCAGCCGTCGTTTAATTATGAGAGTTACTTTGTATTTGGATGATCAACACAGTAAAGCAGACGGAAATGGTTGTGTGTATCGTAACAACAGGTCGAATTAAAGTGAGGCACTAAATGAATGTGAGCTATCAAGCATAGGTCCCGTACCAGAAGCGACGCATTGCAGTCAGTTGGTTCATTCGCACTAAGACAACGACAGTTGGTGCTTTGCAGTGCACTTGGAATGGAGGTTGATCGCTCTTTTCAATATTATGAGTCGAATCACGATTTTTTTTAAAATAACTTTTAAGATGGCAGGTAGCAAAGTGTCTGATTGTCATGCTGGCCGCTGTATACATCTGCGTTTTAATCCTAGTTGTCCCACAAACAGATAAGTGGACCCAGTGGGTCGGCAAAATGCCGTGGATGACTATCTGATTTCAAAGCTGGCTGCGAAGAACCTCGATTAAAAATACTGTATAATTACAAACGGTATGAAACCACTTAGTTGACAAAGCACTTCGGTAGCTTCTGCAGACAACTAATTAACTACAAACCAAACAGAGTTCTATTAAGTGAACACCGGTGCTTTTAGGCTGGGACAACGCATTGTTGTTTAAGACTCTCAAACTAGTCGTAAGCGATGACACGTAAGAGACATTTAACATGCCGATTAAGGGAAAGAAGTAGAACAGCTAGGTAGAAGCAACTTATGGGAATTGACGTTCAGTGATGCAACCTGACGAGTGGAGAGTGAAGACAATCAAAACATTCAAGTGTGCATTAAAAAACTCATAGGGAAATCAAAGTCAAGACAAAAGAATGTATGTTCTTCTTCACCGCTATTGGGCTAAACTAACTGACACTGAATCTAGGACTTTTTAATCTGGATGAAAGTCATTACTCTTTATTTGCTTACTTCAATTCTGTTACTCTGCTTCACATCCTGACAATTTTGCATGTTTGCTTTCCCTTAAATTATATGCTGTTTGTTTGATATCCCCGGTGTGGCTGCGCTTGAAGGGAATGTTGACAACTTCCCAAACTGTCTAACACCCTCCACCTCGATAAATGGCTCCAGTAGACTGTGAATTGTTGGTGTGGGCGACGGGGTGCACGGTCCTCATGGCCGTGTTAGGCTCAATGAGTGGTTCCATCTAGTGTGGATCGGGCTACGGCCCAGCCACCGACTTGTGAACATCTGGTACTCAAGATTCCTCACCTAGGTAGACAGGCATGCTGCTGTTGTACAGGTTGAAGTAGTGTGGGCCCGCTTCCGTGAGGAAACGTGGCTCCCATCCACATACCTCCCGGTTTTATTCCTTCGGGTTTTCACTAGATATGGGGTATGTGGATGGAGCTGTGGGTGATGCAGCGCAACCCACTCATGGTCCCCTTGTAGGCGCATGCGTCCTGTGGCTGTCCTATTGAGGTCACAATGACAGTTATCATTAACCATCATCAGAAGCAATTCATCAAGCATTTGAACTGATGCTTCGCTGCCGTACAACCACGATGACCTACGGAACGAAGCACCATAATGCGGGGAGCAGAGGGACTTACCGGAAAACCTTAATGCTCTAAACAAACATTCGGGGTCAAGACGCCTACACCTTGTCAACAACCTACCCACACTAACGGCTGATATCGCGCAAACTACGACAGTATGTGCGAGACATTTTCCTGGCGGATTCCACTTCCCCTCATCATAATAAGCCTTAACCCGCAGATAACTCAGCTCCAAACACACTGTCAACAGACAGTCCGACTAGGAGGCGACAGCAGACGCCCATGGTGTCGACTGCGAGACATGTACTGTAACGTCTCAAGCCAAACACAAGGTGCGTCACGCGGACTCCAGCCTGGAAGACGAGATGGCACCAAAGTTGATCGTCAGTGACGTCATTTCCCGCTTCCAAGTCAAATTTGGTCCACCGGTTGTCTCGCGCCACCCTACAACTGGCAGGCAAAGCAAGGCCCTGCTCGGTAAGCGGTGATCGGACATACGTGGCACGATAGTCGCTTGTTAGCCCTTCGGAACGATGTCCATCCGTTACTAGTGACTCAGTCGGCGTACTTTGTTGCCTTTGTTTTCTTTTCTTTTCTAATGTATTGTGGCACAAGAGCAAATATGTTTTCCACCTCTAGATAACGTATATAATAATTTGTATTATAATTATGATAATAAGTACGTGCCCAAGCCAACGCAAATAATTCAGTGTTATCTGTTGTTCTAAGGATTTAGAATGATTATCATTGCCTAGTACTCGCTTACGCACATCATCGCTGCGTACAGGCTGTTGTCGCCCGATACCAGCACTGCTTCGTAGTCAACGATGATCAACGACTTGAAGTCTCCTTAGATCCTTAACTCGAACGGGCTAAGTCTCACTCCCATACAGTAGGACGACCCTCCCTGTGGCCTTGTAAGCACGGCCTTTCAGACGGAGGGTAACCATTTTCTTACGCCACAGATGTCCCAGATACAAGAAGGCAGTCCTGGCTTTTGCACTACGCGAACTGACTAGAGTTCCTATGTGCCCATCGTTGCTGATGCAGTTGCCAAGGTAGGTGAAGTGACCAGCTACCTCGAGTTCCTCACCCTTAAGGGTCAAGGGGTCAGCAAATGGCTGGTGATCCTGTAACAGCACTTTGCACTTTGAAGATGCGAATTGCATAATAAATGAGGAAAGCATTCTTTAGAAGTTTTTCAGGGTTGAATACTCTGCTCCAAGATCGTTAACTGGTAGGACAACATCATCCGCATAATCAAGATCAACTGGCATATTACCAGGCAACACCTCAACGCCTGCAACGTGAGGATCCGCAAGGGAACACTCCATGATGCAGTCCACGAGGAAGTTGAATAAAAACGGGGAAATTGATCAAACCTGACGAACTCCACTTGTTGGCGAAAAAGTATCCAACACATCACCATAGACCCCTGACGCGGCCCATATTGTTCGAGTATAGAGCGCGTGAAATGATCACATATTTTCATGGGAACCCGTTTCCCTACAAGTATCTCGAACAGGATGGATCACCTGAATTGAACTCGAGGAACAAGGATAATGTCGGCCTGCGATACGTGTAACGCTGCTCTAGCACCTGACGCAGAGTTTATATGTGGTCGCATTGACAGGCAAATCCGGAATCAAATGCTCATTTCTGTTCAATTTCCTCGTGAACCGTGTGCGTGTGTGTGTTTGCCCTCGCGAGTGACCACGAAATCCGTTGAATTTGGAAATCAAACAAGTCACAAGGCAAGTGCTGACCACCGGTCACCGATTCAGTCCTGAAGAGTAGTTAGGAGTTTCAGTGACGCCCCTGTCTTTGCGTTAGTGGAGGCCACTGTTGTTGATCTTGAAACACTACCACTGTACATTCAAAAACAGCTGATTATGACGCTAAGCCTACCCCGGTAGTACGAGCACCTTGTCAGCTGCCATCTTGTATGATACTGTGCCTGTGTATTCATCACTGTTGCATGTTTCTAATTAATATGATTGCACGAAATGACGTCATCACACAGATTATATCTCCTGATTTTTCCGTTTAGAATTCCGAAACTGATTTGGTAACATATCCCGTGTCGGTGAGAAGTGCGCTTATTAAGGATTTGACTGCCTCACGACCTCCAGTTCCCAGCCAGTTGGGTGGTGTCCATACTCTCGCGAATAGCGGCCTTGTCATACGACCAATGTGTTCTGCTTTGCAAGAGCAGGACAAAGGTTAAAGGCACACTGACTTGATGCGAACAGGCCCCTTATCCTTTGAGTATAGTGTTAATATCTTGATCCTGGTCAACTGGACTTGCATTTCTACAACTGAAGATATGCGTCTGAGTTAGAAGCCTTGCCATAATTTCGCCCTTGTATGGCAAATGTGGGAATATTGGCTCACGTTCTACTGTCAAAACTACGAGCTCTTTCTTCTGTTCCAGGTTCGCTATAATAAAACTCTCAGTGTAGCTATTATCCAGCAACACCGAGCGAATACACTCCAATTTTGGAAGCTCGTTTTTCGAGCACATTCTTTCAACTCCGCTGACCAAGCAATACATGAAGTTCTATAGGTGCGAAATACTGCTACTTTGCTTGGTTTCAGGTTCCTTGTTTCATTACTTGTGAGGAAGATGGAAAAAGTGTGCCTAATCCATTCAATTTCCAGGCACCACTTTGGTTACGCAGATTGTAGGCGCGATACTAATTTCCACACATTAGGGCTACACACGATTTTACTTGCTGGATGTTGCTTCGCCTACATGTTGACAAGGGTGTCGTATCGCTATTAACTACTCCAACCCACATCGGCAACGGGCACACCAAGAAGAGCGCAGAGACGGTTTTTCATCAAAGATGGTTCTATCATATAGCAGATGAGTAATAGGCAAGACCAATCAAGGTACCGAACACGCCGTAACATGTCAGCCAATGAGCAACCTGTCCCACAAAGCACCAATCAGACGCACTTAACGAAGGTTAGTTGATAGTGTCAATTTCAGGTGAGAAACTGTGGTAAGATATCAGGAGCAATGACTATTAAGGCGGCCAAAATGATGCGTCAGGACAAATATCAAAAGATGTACTTGCCGAAAATGAAAGCTTGTAGTTACGATGTTACACAAAACGTAACTCATTTAAACGCTTCCCGCTAACAGAGCGAATAATATTAATGCAACTAATAAAATGCACAGATTATTGATGTTGTAAGAACCTTGCCTTCATAAGACAAACGCGCCCAATGGGCCATTTTTGGAGATGATAATTTTGTTTTTTATACAATTAAGCCAGTATCGGGTTATGGTCTTCTCTAGTTGAATTTATTCGAAGCACAAAGAGCGTACACACGAGATTCACAGTAGCTTATGAGCTATGTTACTCTAATTCATCCAATAATCGTATACTTATGTGATAAATGCGGATTCCGTTGTACGAATTTACAGAGTGAACCTTTGGCCAAGAAAATCTTCAGTTATTCATCGGCAACGAAAGGTTATCGATTAGCAAGTAGCTCTGCAATAAAGTTTGACTATGTCCGGTTCTACGACGCAGTGATCTTCAAATAAAGTGCTTCCTCAGATTCCTGTTTGACTGCGAGTCCGATGTCGAATAAGCGCCAATTCAGCTGGTGTAATTAGCACTTGCGCGTCCACCAACAAGTCATGTTTAATGATCCAGTAGAATCATGCGGATCGGTGTTACCTCTTCTTAACACACAATGTTTCATTCTTTGCAGCGTGTGTTATATAATCAAGGCAATCCATTCATTCGCGAGGTCAGAAACTATCGGAAGAAGGTCATAAACCTGTGTGTAAGTCACAGTCTCTAGCTACGTTGCTTGCTTGAAGAGGACGTAATCGCATCACGCTTAAGAAAAGAAGTACTCACAACTAGTACGATTCAGATACAAATCTTTCTCGAAATATTTTATTGTTTGCAAGTGCGCCCCGTCAGCAACAACCGTTTTGGAACTTTGTATCATTTGCCGATTGCACAGGGTGTTTTATTAATTATGTCCGAAGTTCGGAGCTATCTAAAGCTGCAGTAGTGAACGGTTAGGTCACAGTTCAACGGAAGGTCAACAAGCCAATCGATAGATCAGTCAATGCAATCAGGTGGTAAACGTCACTCGCTTTCACATAAAAATAATGAGCCACAAAATTAACAAGAAAAAAGCTAGCGGCAGCTGCGCTCAGGTGCTGGCGTACCCCGGCACGCTGAATTGCCAACTGTTCAATGGCGCCAATTGCTTTTCCGAACGTGTCCGCAGGGGTGAGATGGGACAAAGAGACTGGACCTGTGCGCCTACGATCGCAGGGCACACCAAGGGAACCGGGCCGTTGGGTTGTGAGAAGTGAGTGCTAGCCAAACAGCGAAGCAGCACTGGACAGGTCCTGCATCGATGGCAGGCCACACCAACGGAACCGGGCCATTCGGCTGTGAGGAGTGAACGTTAGCAAACATCACAGACGCACTGGACACGCCCTGCTTCGAGCGCAGGCCACACCAAGGGAACCGAACCTTTCGGCTGTGAGAAGTGACCGTTAGCTAAAGAGCGAAGCCGCACTGCACATGTCCTGCTTCCATCGATTGGTAGTCGGCTTTCACGCAGGTGAAAAAGTCAGCAAAATGGATGCGGGCGAGGTGGTTAGTGGCTCGTTGTTTTAGCAATGGAGCAGAAGCTTACACCAGTATCGTCGATGTATCCATAACTGCAGTCGCGTAATGTGCCGGTCCATCAGCGCGTGGTTACTGTGCAGCTGTATGGTGAGTGTAGGTCCAACGCGCAGAAACGGTAAGGCGCTATAACACAACGCACCGGGTTGCGCGGCTCATTAACGAGCGGTATGTGCGTCGAGTGGTGATGAACTTTGCAGAAACTGGCAGAGTTTGCAACGTCAAACACACCGAACGGCCTCACACCGTCTCGGATGAAGTGTCAGCTTGCGCTGTTGTGCAAGAGGTATGCAGTAAGAGCCATCTCAGTATTCGGCAACTCTCAAGATTGCGAAACTACACCGTATGCTGTGCATCGGATATTGGAGGAAACAATTCTGACGGTACAGTGCACTGGAGGTACAAGGGTTATGGTGTCTGGCTAACGTTCAGTTCTCACAACCGAAAGGCGTGCGTTCTCTTGGTCTTGCCCTGCGATCCACGCATGACAGGTCTATGGCAGCTGCCCTGTTTGCTGACGTTCATTTCTCAGAGCCGAACCGATCGGTGAGCCCTACGATCGTAGACACACATGTCGCGCCTCTGTGCCCATCTCATCCCTGCTGGCAAAGCAATTTGCGCCATTGGACAGTTAGCAATTCAGCGTGCCGGGGTGCGTCAGCACTTGAGTGCAGCCGCTCCTAGCTTCGGACATGATTAATAAAACACCCTGTAGATGTTCAGAACATTTGGTGTACACCGCTGTGTCACTTAAGTATGAAAGAAAAGGTAGGAAGGTAACAAGGGGAGAAAGAATGGGAACGGAAAAGTGTAATGGACGGATAGTCTCTGGCAGCGCTGCTCTTTACTTTGTATCATATAACCTTTAGTAGCATGTTTCATTGCCTGGAACTTGGCCGTGATAAGGATTAACTAACTAAAACGAACTAACCTGTATTTGTAACCACTAAGGTATGGACCCGCATAGTCGTCCTGTAAAACATTGTGGCAAACATACGTCGGAACAAATATTGACCCACTTTTCTGGCTTTATAATGCCATGAGACGATAGGTGACTTAGCTTGGCAGACTGCATGTCTGGGGCCAATCCTGTCCTTTTTGCCACAGTAGCGTGAAAGGAAAACGAGTTTCACCATTTCTAATCTGGCCACCAGACAAGGCTGTCCACTGTTATTCGCAGTGGCTCGAATCACTGTCTTCTGACAGGATATTCGCGGGTTGAAATCCCTTAGGATTGGAAGAAGCTACAAACTGTTGATAAGTTCCATTTGGGTGTAAGGTGATCCTGCGCTTTCCAGGGTGCATATCTGAAAATGCCTATCACGAAGCCCATCTACAAATTTGTCAGTCAAAGAAAGTCATCAGCAGCACGCCGGCACAATGTACCGACGCTTCGCATCCACGCGACCACCGCCAGTCGCGTGTGACCTGAGTATACCGCGATGGCACCTACCCCTACGCGGATTCGAACCGGTGACTTAAGAATTGCAAGACAGGAGTGCAATCCTTTCGGCTATAGGCCGACACCTACAAAGTTGTTCTGTTAGAATGTGGGCGAAATATGGAACGGTTCACCTCAGTTGATGGAAGTGTTTCTGCATTGATGATTCTCACGGAATTATCGGACAGTGGATAGTACACTGGAAACTGGGTAACGTAGGTAGTGACAAACAGGAACTTGCTTCCTATCTACGTTTTTACCCGCAGAGGTCTTAAGCAAAGATTAACCTCAAGCAAATATCGCCGCAAATATGGAAATGCATGAAGCGGATCCTGAGAGATAGAACCTTGACGATGTTGAAGCTTCTGGATTAACGGAAATGACCAGCGATTTCCGGTGACCCCGCCTGAAGGCTGCTAGGGAAGAATGCACCCAAACATTCCTACAATTAACAACACTGATACGGTAATTTTCAGCATGTAGTATACCCATACGTAAGTCGCGGAACAAATTAAAACATTTCTCCTAACCCCACCCAATTTTTTATCGATCTTAAGATGGAATGGACAAGGGTGATTGTTGAAAATAATGTGGGCCAACTAGATAACCTCTGGGAGAAGTGAACGTTAATATCGCGCGTTTCCTACGCACGATAGCACTTACTAAGGCAAACACAGTGAATAGACGTTATTACGGTGAGCAATGCAACGGCGAATTGTGAAATTCTGCAGATGGTTTTCTGCTAGTTAAATGTCAAAACTCTGACCACCTACATCACAGAAAAAGGGTTAGGCTGAACTACGGAAGAACTAATAGCAAAGTAAGGACAGTATTCCATTCCGATTGGCTGAGAAATCAATTAAGGCAGTGTTTGCATCCAATCCACACAGGAGTACGGTGCACGTGAAACCACCCCTCATTATCTCAGCTGGTTCATCTCGGAATTCCTCTTCCATCAATAGGGTTAGTGTACGAGGTCAATGCACATTCTCAGGCATACAGGTCATGACTAATCGGGGTACAGTCGTTAGCGTTGACAAGCCTTGACTTGAACCGGGCTTGCATCGCCGCGACGGTACGTAGATGAACATACTGCTCAGCTTGGATCAGTTTATCAGGCGCGATTAGAGCACAGAACTGTGTCGCATCCATTTGTTCACTTGGTCGTGCTACTAAAACCAAACCGAGAAACACATCGTCCACGCTTAATAGCTAGTTACCGATGAAGATCCACACTCGCCCTCATCTCTAGGCGTTGAAGTTAGCCGGCGTGAATGCGGAATAGTGGCCCGCCTAGTACTTTCCATCTGCTGTTGGATTTAACCCTTTTTCACTGTGTCACCTAGGGCTATTGATTTCCAATGCGCTGATTCGCAACAAGTAGGTAAGCTCCGAGGCAGAAGTTTGGAAAGGAAAACTGCGCGATGAAGCGATTCATTATGACCTGCATGCTTTTCAGTCCTGCACAGATCGTACCCAAAACGATGAGGGAGATATTACTTCACTTATGAAAGCTTTCCGTTCATTATTTCCCTCTTAACTGTTACGAGCGCGAAACCGAGCATCTGTCTAGCTGAGGTTACACGTCGTATGCACTTATTCAGTGCCCTGTTTGGAAAAGTAAAACGTGAACAATTTGCGACAGCCTGAGAAAGATGATGAAGTTTATCATTACAGTACGGGGAATCCACGTGACAAGCTAGTATGTCTACCCTGACACGTAGACGATAGTCCAGACCAAAACGAGCAAAATTCGTCAATGTGAAGTTCGTATCATTTGTCAAGAAGCACTGTGAGGGGAATGCCATAACAACACCCGAAATACCAAAAATTTTAGGTACTACAGCCGATCCACAATTGAGAATTCAATACGACAAGTTTTCATCCAACTGCTTTTGACTGTAAAACTTAATGGACAACTGTTCGCTTTGTGGCACCTTGAATTTCTTCACTGAAAGCGCAGACCCGGGCTATTGCAACCATCGATAGGAAGATATGATAGTGTCAAATTATGTTTGATGATTGTTTGGTGCAACCATGTGCGAAAACAGTGTTTCGAATCCACGGAGTTCTGAGCAGCTGGTAATGACCAGAAAGTTTCAAAAACGGATTAGGATTACATCATATACGGTACGCTAAAGTCTCTGTTCTTATGGCAGGTCAGTTACTGCATGGATAGTGTATTGTTGGACATTCAGGTAGCTTCGTATGTAATACCACGTGCATATGTCAGGGACGGCCGCTTGGGTCTCCCACAACAGATGTCATTTTGAAGTCTCGCATCTCACAGTGCAGCATACGGTGGCAAAAGCTGATAGAACACTTGATGAAGGCCAAATTGATAAGCTTGCGTTCAGTTGGTAATTCCTCATCCCCTCCGAACAGCTTGCGACCCATGAGCGGTTAAATCTATTCCTGAGTGCGCCAATACCATTAAATAAGCGAGAGAAGAATAAAGATGAAGTGGCAGTACACCAAAATAGTATGTGAAGTGTTAACAAATTTTCACGTACTCGTACACATTGTAAAATTAGACAGGCAAGCAAATGCACTCTAATGCATGCGAGTTGCAGTGAGTAGGTCGCAACGCAGTTAGCTAGGAGCATCCCGAGACACGTCAATATTCCTCCCTGGTTAAACTTAAAATCGGTTCTATGAATCACCTCCCCTTTTCTGTGAGGCAGTCTGCTTCTGTAACAGCACTTACTAACCCGTGTTCGACAAACGCTAGCTATGGTAGAAATTTGGTCTAAACACAAGAACATTCACCGCGGAGATCGGATCATTCGGAACTCGCTTAGACAGCACACGCTAAAAACGTACTGTAATGTGTAAGGCTTGAAGTTTTCGCAGTCCATCGAAATTATGAGCGACGATTACATTGTCATGTGTGCTGCAACAAAGTCACAGTGAATCCAATTTTAGTTGCATAGGAAGTGTAGGATGGAGGCGGTGGGAACATCAGTGATGAATTCCAGTGGCCCATATTTCGCCAGCTTACTCAGGCCAACCAGTTGCACTTAGACCATGGGTATCAAGCTTACAGTTCAACTTGGTCAACTACAAACGGAAGCCCACGCGCTCATTCACTGAGGTGAAAGTTGGCGCTCATCGCAGAAGATAATTGCGGGAAGCCGTATCTGATGTATAGGATAATGTTAAGCCTTGAAGTGCAAGTAAAACGTAGAGCGGTGCCACTGAACTAGTGCACTTGAAGTGCCACCAGTGGCACTATGAGCAGTACCAGCAAAGTCGAAATCCTGGTTACATTGACATCGTTTACGTCCCTTATTGCTTAACCTCCTTTCGTGTGTCAAACTGTGATAAGACAACCAATGAAACTGGAACGAATAAGATGTTACTTAAGTAGCGGAACACCAATAAGCTTGCCAAATAGGGAATGTAAAACAATGCTCTTTGCTTACAAGAACTCGACGCTTCCCAATCAGTTTTTCTGCACTGGCGGCTTAGGTTCAGATGCAAAAATTTCCTGGGTTTACTCAGCGGTGATAACATATGACGGACGCTTATGAGGCCAAATCGTGTCATGCTACACCTTTGTAAACGTCACTACGCCTCATTCGACGACACATCTACTCTCGTTCTATCTAAATTCTCACACAATTTTTTCTACTATTCTGAACAAAATCAGAAAAATCTAACCTACCTTGATGACAGACCAGTCTTTCCAAAGGACAGAGCCTGTGCTGAAGCCTTGTAAGTCACATTCAAGACCTAACGAGTCCCACAGTTTTGAAGGTGGTCTGGATATGGAAACAAAAGTACGCGAGGAATGGAATGCCAGAGAACAACAGAAGATCATTGACAGCTGCAACTGTGAGTTGATGTTTTACATTATTCTAGCTTGAGACTGAAACAGTCACATACTGTGTCTCTCCTTAGTTATAGATACAGTGATTACTTATATTGAAAAACGGTGTGATGATGCCGGGTTAAATATCGGTATCTTATAGTGAACTTTTGCAATAATCGGTTAAGCAACTTGTCCCAGCGATATATATATATGTATATATACATATATATATTTTTTATTTCTTTATTTATTCATTTATATATCGGCTTCGAGCGCATGGTGCTGTAATACATGCGGTCGCGAATGCCTGAGTCAGGCAGGTCTAGTGAGCCACGAGTGAGGCCATTCGGGATCAGAAGCGAATCGACGACGGGACCTACTGAGAACATAAACAGAACCGGCACAGCGTTGATAGCTGCCTTACATGCGCTGTCATTCGATTTACTAACCGCCTATTTGTGTGCTGAGTTTCTTTATTTCGGGTGATTGGTTCGTTATATTGTCCTAATGCTTAGTTTGTAACAGTTTAATGTCTAACTGAATAATCTTCTAGTTACTTGCACACGTGGTTTAAACGAAAGGTGGTTAACTTCGTTAATTTTTCGCATCTGTTGCCTTTTTTGAACTATACTTCTGCCATCGTGAATTTATCGCGGATTTGTTGATAACCCGTTCATTTCATATGTTAATTTGACTAAGACTTACTTTGGTATATCCGTATACTTTATTCTATATATTTTGTTTGCTATTATCATTGCAACTAATTGGCTATCGCTTGACATCCCCGGTATGCCTGTGCTTGATGTGAAGATTGCCAACGGTGCCTACTTGTCTAACACCATCCACCTAGATTATACTGGCTCAAGGAGGCTGTGAATCGTTGCTGGGGTGCATGGCTCTCATTGACGTGCTAGGCTCAAAGTGTGTTTCCAGGGTGGAACGGATGCGGCCTAGCCACCACCAATTAGGCTTCTTGAAGACGTATGGGCTGGCTGCGTTTATGGTTGCTTTTTTCTCTCCTTTTTTCTATGTATTGCGGCGCAGTAGCTGAGGTGTTCCCCACCTCCAGCTAACGTGTAGTATGGTATGATATGATGATGCTCCGTTGATGTAACGTTGTCCCCATCCACAGGCCTCCCGGTCATATTCCCTCGGGTTTATACTGGGTATGTGTGTGTGGTTGGAGCTGTGGGTGGTGCAGCGCAATCCACCCATGGTCTCAATGTTGGCGCAGGCCTCCCGTGACTGTCCCCATGGAGGCCGCAGTGACAGGCGAATCTTTAACCAGATGCCTCCAACCAGATACAAGCCAACCAGGTTTCAGTGCATTACGAAACTGACACACACACTGCAGTCACACTGCACAACGAAATAACCTGGTCAAAAAGATTGGCCTCGAGGAGCCAAACCAGGCTGTGTCGTGTGTCCCAGCGATTGCATCTCTACATGGTTGGTGAAGCGAAACTATTGGGGGAGCACCACGTTGACGGGTCACATGGAAGTTTGGCAACTCAGGTAGCCACATGTACCGCACACTGAGATTGTCCAAACTTACTGGACCGGAACTGGATCAATCAGCCCCCGGTTCTACAGATGCACCATCTTTCCTTACCATTGGAGATACAAACGCTGATCTGGCAATACGTAACTGTTTTGGTGACAGTAAGAGGAAGGTTGGCCTGTGGACAAGTTTATAACTGCATTCAATCTAGCACACGACCACAATTCATCAAGATCTGGTCGCTGCCGTGTATAATACGATCGAACGTACAAAATGAACTTGATCGCCTGCAGAAGAGCGGCGTCATAGAGGTACACCAATTGTTCCATTATTCAAGCCTGATGGATCTATTCGAATCTGTGACGACTACAAAACTACCGTCAATTACCGTATTCCGACTGAAAAATACCATTCCAAAAATTGAGTATGTTTACACTTAGCTCGGTACGAGCAGCTGTTTCTCAACATTAAACTTCGTGCACGCTTATCAGGAGCTCGAGATAGACGAAAACGCCGAAACAATATCGACACTCAGTACCCATCGAGGTTTGTTCAGGTATAACAGACTGCCATTCGGCATTCACTTGGCTCCGACCAGTTTCCGGCGGTTGATAGAGCACACCATAATATGCCAGCTTAAAGATTTCGTATACATAAACGATGTCTTGGTTACGGGGGCAACGATTGAGGAACAGCTACAAACTGCGGTTTATGCTGAAGCACCTGCAGGAGAATTGTTTGTAACTGAAACGTGGCACTGCACGTTGATTATTTGGGATTTCGAATAAGTGCAGGGGGACTGAAGACGATTGAAGAGAAAGTTCGGCCTCCTCTTGAGACACCACAACCAACGAATCAACATGAGCTTAGGTCGTTTTGGGGTTATACAATCGCTACTCAAACTTTGTTCCGCAACGAGCCGCAGTGTCGCATCCTTTGCACTGTTCGTTACTCAAGGGCATTCAGTATGTGTAGTCCGAAACACAGGGCTTGGCTTTTCGCTAGTCTACACGTGCATTGGCCAGTCCACCGGTTTGGGCTCAATTTGACCTCAAAAAGCACGTGACGTTCACTTGTGCTGCGTCACCGTTCCGTGCGAACCGCGCTGTTACAAGTCGACGCGAGAGGAGTAGACAAACCGGTTGCGTTTGTCTAGCCCTGGCAGCCGAGCGAAATTACACTTAAATTTACAAGGTTTGTGTTATTGTATTTGGGGTTGTCCGTTTTCAGCAATACCTATTCAGGCAAAAGTTTGAAATGCACGCGGACCATAAGCCATTGATAGGGGTTTTAGGCGAAACAAAAACTCTCCCAACTTCCATCACCCCGTATGCCTCGCTGGGTCATACTACTCGGTGGCTATCAGTATCAATTGAAATATCTTTCTAGCAAGGAGGATTTGTGTGCGAACACTCTCCGCCGACTTTCATTACGGGAAGCTTCTAGCCACCCACAAGATATGGCACAGATTGCTAGAACAACCCAAGCTTTAAAATTCGCAAAGAGACCGCATTTTTTAAACCGTTGCGCTCAGGTAGCTTCCAAAGTATACGAAGTTATCTGTCACTTTCTAAGTGTGACCCGAAGTATGATAGAGGGAGTGGCTCTATCCAGTACTGCGGCACGAACTTACACTTCGACGGGGTAAAGGCCATTCCGAACTGAGAAACAAATATTTCTAACCTACGCGATAAATTTTTGGAGGCCTGCGAGCGATCATGAATTACTGTGATTTCGTTTGCATAGTACGAGTCACGAAGTTGATCCCCCTGAAGGAGTTGAACGCAACTCGGTTAGAGATTGTCTCGAGCATTGCTCAGAATATCGTCCATAGCAAAGTTAAACACGAAGGGTTATGCAAGGCAACCCTATCTCACGCTACAGGTGATACTAAAGGTTGACGAAAGTCCACCGTACACTCGCTCTCGGTTTGAGTCTTGAGAATAAATGGCTTAGAAGATGTTAACCGGTTTCTTGGGCATTCACATTTTCAACCAACAACTCCTGCGAACAGCTCGATAATAGAGTACAAAGCGGCTCGTAGGTTATGGAGACTACGATCGTCGACTGGCCGCATGCTTGACGATGTTCACGTTGCTGGCAAACGTGAATATATGTCGGATACAGGTTTGGCCACAGCGGAATCCAGCTCGATCTTTGCGTAGGTTCTGTTTACGAAACAGGTTGCGCATCCTTAGAAGCAAGGCGCCGAACACTCTAGACACAACACAAGTTAGACTAACCCCTCACTATGAGAACCAATTCTTAGTTGGCAGCAACAGAGCCACTCTTGCTGGATAGCAAGAACTCCATAACTAATAAAAACGGGGACCGTTCGACCCACTCAGTTACTGACGGGAATCAGATTGACATATTATTTCAGGTCAGTAGTAGAGTATCGACGATTCATACCTGCGTCAGCGAATTTTAACCTCGACTGATAACATCAGCTGCTACCTAGCTCAGATTCGTCGTTCGCCCTGTATTGTAGCTAAGTCGAGGAACACTTCCACCGACCCCTGGATTCAGGCCAACGAAGGTGAGCTAGTAGAGGATCCTCCGCAGACCGGTATCAAAAGTACCTGGCTTGTTTCAAAAACTTAGCATCAACAGCAGTACATCACTCATTTGAACTGATGTTTCGCTGCCATACAATCATGAGGACCTATGAAATAAAGAATAAAAAAAGGGAGAGAAGGGGGACTTACCTGAAAACCTTAATGCCCTAAGCAAACATTCGGGGTCAAGTGGCCTGCACCTTGTGTAGACAACATACCGTCACAAACAGATGACTATCGTGCGGATAAGGTGGCATCGGCGAGACAGCTTCGTTGCGGATTTCACTGCCACGCCTCAGAATCAGCCATTACCCCGATGATAACTCAGCACCAAACACACTTTAACCACGCAATCCGATTAGGAGACGTCAGCAGACGCCCCACTTGTGTCTACTGCGAGCCATATCCTGTAAAGTCTCGAGCCAAGCACAAGGCCAGTCACGTTAACTCCAGCCCGGAAGGCGAGACGGACCAACGGCACCCAGTTTGATCGTCAGTGACTTTACTTCCTGCTGCCAAGTCAATTTCTGTCCACCTCGATCTTTGCGCCATCCTACACCTGGCAGACTAAACAATCCCCTCCTAGGTAAGCGGTGACCAGGCATGCGTAGCACGTGCCCGAGCCAACGCAACTTAGTGTCATCTGTTAGGAGCTAGCATGATTATCACTCCCTAGTATTTGTGTACGCACCTCATCGTTGCGGACACGCTGGTGCCCTCCGACTCCAACAATGCTTCGCAGACAACGATGATCAAAGACTTGAAGGCGCCTCAGATCTTCAGACCGAAGGCGCCAAGTCTCACTACCATAAAGCAGAACGGCCCTCACTCTGGCCTTGTATACTCGGTCTCACAGACGGAGGGAAACTCCCTTCTGTGCCAAACATGCAGCAGGTTCAAGCAGGTAGCTCTGGTCTTTGCAATGCGTGAGCTGCCGTCAGTTTCTATGAGCCCATCGTTGCTG